GTTTTTTTTATAATCAGTAGAACAAAATGAAAAATGTGAGTAATGCAGAATACAAGAATTTGTCTTATAAGAAAATAATACTAGAATGCTAGAAAAAATGTAATAGTCTTACAAATGTATGAGTCAACCAAAAAAAATAACGGTAAATCGAGGTTTCGAACAACTACACTGACGAGTTGGAGAAATTCTTTTGTAATTTAGAATTTACTGGCTTTATTGAAACACAAATGTTATATTTAGTAAAATCAATTAGACATTTTTTATTTTGGGGAGTAATAATGAAATAAAAATGCAACATGTTTTGTTATAATCAGTAAAATAAAATGAAGAATGTGAAAGTACAGAAGAGAAATATTTGTCTCGTAGGAAAAGAATGCTAGAATTCTCGAAAAAATGTAGTAGTGTTACAAATGTGTGAGTCACTAAAAACTTTAACGGTATATCTATTGGGTTCGAACAACTGAACTGACGAGTTAGAGGAATTCTTTCGTCGAGCGTTACAAAGCTCTCTCCCGGTTCCCCTAAAGTAGTTTCGTAGAAAGGTGCGTAAAGGAGAAGAAGACACGTACCACCTAGCTTTCATACAAGGTTGCATTCTACTCTTTTCTTCCGACGTCAGAGTGGCATAAAACGACATTTGCCCGTCCATTTTTCTGCTCGTTAATCGCCGATTTTGAATCGATTATAATCACGCCACATCAGATTTTTTATTTAATCCTTTTCCTTCATGAACGCCGTGAACGGACCGCCACATCCCTCCTCCTGTTTCATTTTAAGTTCGCACACATCATTCAATCGTTCTACTATTGCCACATTTTCTACACGATTTACAAGAAATCTTCAAACCCTTATTAAGCATGCAATTGATTTACAACGGACTTATCAACCGTAAATAAAAAATCATAAATGAAGATTGTATAAACTACTTTCAGAAAGGACAAAACTACTTCCGTAAAACGACTGAATAGCAGTCGTTACATTAACGACACTCGCATTCTTGCAGCTAATCAAGACTAATAACCGGTCAACAACTTCTATCGATTAAGTGCATGCATTGTCCATTGAAATCTATTTGTATACGCATAATAAAACGAAACAGTTTCAATTTATCCAGCTCAAGTGAAAAACACTTTTTGCCCATGCAAATCTCTTTATTATCTACAATAACACTCAGCTAATGAAAACTTTCTGAGATGTCCATTTTATAATTTCGCTATTGTATAAAGGGAATGGGGATTTCTTTGTATTGTAGTAACAATCTGAAAAACGACTGAGGTATTTGTAACGAAATTCAGACGTAAGCTATATTTATTTATAAAACAAAAACTATTGTTATAAAATAAATGGAAGATCACACTATTTCTTGTTTTGTATAAACCGAATTAATCAATTTTTTGTGTACACACATAAAATGATTTTTGGCTTTAAACAATTTCTGAAAAATAAGTATAGTACTCAAATGTGAGGATAGATAATTTAATGTAATATATAAAATAAACAGAAAGTTCGTAGATCATAGAATCTGATGATGAGGATTTTTATAGTCGGAAAAACCCCACAGCGTATTTCAAAATGATATTGATAAGCTATATGTGTTGAAACATACAATTGCGTTGCGTCAGGAAACAAAAAGCTTGTTAAAAATATAAAGAATACCGTTTACATTTTCATACGCCCCAAGTAAACATTTCGTTCGTTTGCAAATCGTCACGCACTATATAGTGGCTTTCATTAACATTCAGACAGACATCAAACCGGAATAAGTTTGTTGATATTGAACCAATCAATTTAATTCTTTTTATTAAACATTAGAAAACTTAATTCCTTAGATAATGAGCAAACAAAAATGTTAAAAGATTGGAATTATCCAGAACATGAAGAAAAAGTAAAGGACATGAGTTTTTAGCTTTTTATTTAGGCCAAGAAGAAAAAATGGATAAATGGACAGTTATAATATAAATACATGTAATATGCATAGACATTTCTATGAAACTTAGTACTTGCATACAACTTATTTAGATTTACAAAAAGCATGTTTTCACAGCTTCATTACTGACCAAAATAATTCATTTGAAATGTTCGTGTTTTTTCTTCGCGATTCTAATAAATTTTTAAATCCTTTTCTCGATACATTACCTATGAAACTAAGTCTTCAAACATCTAAAACAAAATTACGTCGATCCAATATTAAAAAAGTTATTCTTGTTTGAAGTGTGTCCGAATATTAATAACGGCTACTGTAGGTATGTCTGTGCGTTACGTAAAAATATTGGAAGCAGATTTTTATTTCTACTTACGATAGCTCGACACTGGAAGCAGTATTGTTCAATAACCGGAATTAGAGTCCGTTACGCGCTGACACAATGTTATCTTAGTAATGATGGTAATTCAAATTAAATTGTGTACTATCTATTATTACTAGGGATGGTTGATAGAAAAGAAGATTAATATAATAAGATGTACTTGACCACTCTAATTACATAACGGTGAGCTGTTTGTTGGTTTCAAAGATCAAGCAAACGCAAAAACTCACAGAGAACATTATAATCCATCACAAGAATTGCAATCACGAAAACATTTACGAGAAACTTGAAATTTCAATACTTAATTCACGTTATTTGTCTTATAATTATTACATATTCAGTCGTTCCATCTATGAAGAATAAAACTAGCAGAAAATTTTCGTGACCAGTCACACGAATTAAACTAAAAAAATTTGTCAGAAACTTGAAACAGCACTTGATTAGCGTCTTAATTACATATTCATTCGTTTCGCCTCTGAAGAATAAAACTCGCAGAGAACACTATGATCAGTCACAAGAATTGCAATCACAAAAATATTTATCAAAAGCTTTACAGTACTTGATTCATGTTATTCATTACTCATTCTTCTCTCGTAGAAGAAATGATTCTTATATAATATTTTACCGCAAATATTGTTCTATTCTTACTGACAATGGGCACGTGTACACACGATGCACAGTGAACAACTGTCCACGTTCAACTAAACTACTAAACTCTCCCATACCGCGTGTAGACGTTTCACGTGGGCGCAGGAGCGTATCCTTCAATGCTAATGAGAATCATCCCCCATTTCTAGAATACCATAAAAAGATACCTTCATACAGTAACTCCCATCAATTTCTATTCACGATACAAAGAAGTCACATTTTGTAAATTTTATAGAACAGCTATTATCAGCGACTGCTTAATGTTAGATCTTTGACAACTATTCACAAATACCTGTTATCACAATCGTAGCATAACGCAAATTATTTAAGAGAAAACTGAATATTTTAGAATCACTTTCTCTCGAAATGTAATGGCCTTCGTTAATATTAGGACACATTTCAAAACAGAATAGCTTTTTTAATATCGAACCTATCAACTTATCTTTTTTTTTTAGATATAAGGAGACTTAATTTCTTGGACAATATATGATAAGAAAAAATTGCTATTAGCCAGACTTACTAAAAGACAAGTAAGGCAAACGATTTTCATGTTCTTTGGTCCACTAATGAAAATCTAAATCATGCTTTTTGTAGATCTAATTGTAAGCAAATTATATGCATGTACAAACTTTGCTATGAGCATTAAAAATTCAAAGATCGATGAGGAAAATTATACTTTTTTATCATTTCTGGGTCTCAATCAACTATTGATAGGATCTGAAACAGCTCGAATTGTTTCGCGCGAATCTGTAACGTAACAAAATTTAATTCGAAGTTTAGAACTCTTGAAATTGGATCAACTTGAAAGTCTTTACTATCCTGAATATATCGATAAAATTTAGAATCGCAAAACTGAGACAATCATTTTATATCAGAAAAATGTTTCTTTATTCTTGGTGAAAACATCATTGATATAAAATATGAAAGGATATTTCTAAAGTTTGAATATCAAAAATGCTTTTAAATTGTAATCTTCTTTAATTAAATTTCACAATGCTTTTATTCTTATAATGTTAAGATCATCAACAGTATTAAAACTGTTAAGATACTCAAGAATTTTCAGCTTCGCAACAGGTTCGAAGCGATTCGAATTTCCACTTCCTGAAGTATACATTTGAATGCCCATCACTACCTGTATCTGCTGGAATAAATCGAAAGATTTTCACATGCTCCAATACTTATTAGGCTAAACCTCAATGCATATACATATATTATTTACTTAGTATTACAAAATGCATGTTTTATATTTTCATTAGTGAACCAAAGAAAGAACTAAAAAATTGTGTCCATTTTACTTCGTGATTCTGGCTAATACCTGTCTTCTTCAATTATTTTTTACGCATTATATATTATTATATATTAACTTATAATTACTTCCTCGTATTGTGTATGCAGTTGGAATGTAAAGATTACAAAAAACAATTTAAATCCGTAACAATATTACTCACAAATATCTATTATAACAATCGTGACGTAACGAATACTTCATTTAATACAGAACTGATCATATTTTGGAATTATTCCAAAATGCGTACGACTAGAATTGCTTTTGTTATAGAAAATTATAACAGCTCTAATTTTATGAAATGAATGAATGATTTTCCACGTATCATGATTTTGCATTTCCGAACATAAAACTTGATACGTGATATGAGACAACATCTGTAAAGTAAAAGGATCTTATTGGGGACAACTCAAAAAGAATGTTAGGCGAATGAAAGTTTCGTAAAACCGCAGCCGGGGTTAGTATCGCTTTTCAGAAATTATATAAGCTAAGAAAAATCTATTATTAGAGCCGCACAACTGCGTATAAGGAATAAACCATGGATATTACGAAATCGTTCACATTCAGATCGCAAACAGTGTCACCTCAGATGGTCACCGTAGTTATATTGTGTTTACACACAAAGTCATGTTCTAGCCGCTTTACAGAAATTGAAGTAAAAATCAACAGAGAATTCTGTTTCCTTACGCATGAAAGATTCTTTTCGCAATTCCTTAAGTGATGCCAATTATCTTTTCATGAAATCGTGTGCGTGCCTAGTCAATACGACATGATTTTACTTGTTAGACTCATGATTTTCAAAGACGGGAGAGCTTGCGTTTTGTGTCTAACGGTAGACATGAATAACCTTGAATACCTTATAGAAAATACGTATTTAAATACTTGACAACTTCATAACCCTTTTGATTTTCGTGATTGCAATTGGAAGCCACTTATCTCATTGCTATCGCGAAGGACGATTCACTTAAATGTGTTAGCTTTCCCATTGAACGACATAAGCGGATACTAAATGCGCTAATACTCAATTAAACGACGGTAAATTGCATTGTCGAGAGGGACGAATTTCGATTCACATTGCATCATCTATTCTGAGAGAGAAGAAAGCATGCAGAGAGAGAGAATAAATGACATGATATACATCATTAGTGAGTGCAAAAGTTTTCAATTTTATTATACATTTACATAAATCAATGCAATTAATGTTAGAAAAAATTCAGCAGATTATCAAATCCCAGTCGAAGATTAGTCCAATTTTTATCTCCGATTCCAAAGTGCGAAAAGTGTTAAGAAAATTCAGAGATACAGTATCTAACATACTATGTATTATACAATTTTTATAACTCCCTAGGATAATACTTTCCATTCGAAAAAAAATTCATGAAGATTTCGAACTCTGAAGATAATTAACAATTCACTAAAATAACTCAAATCAAAATAATAAATGTAAATATGATCTAAATAACAATAAATCTAAAATCTTAACTGTTTTTAATCAGATTAAAAGCACAGTCGAAATTCCTGCACGCAGTACGGCATAAATCATTAACGAGTGCAAAAGTCTCAAATTTTATTATGCATTTAAATAGATCAATGAAAATAAATGAACTCGAAATTAATTAACAATTTACCGAAAAATTTCACAGAATCAGCATCCGAATTTAATCTGAATAAAAGCACAGACGAAACTTTTGCACGTACGAATTGAAATAAAACTAAACTCGTATAGTACAAACGTGCTAGTTAAAATCGATCATAACGACGTCTAACGATCGTAAGGACGAGAACTGGTGAATCGGAATCTGCTGGGAGAATAGGGGCGGTTAGGTAAAAGAAAGAAAAATGGTTAACCTCGAAAACCCGGCAAAATTGGCTTGCTGAAACTTACTCGTAGGAGCCGCGCTGTGGCAACGGATTCTTAAAACGCATCACAAGCCGCGTGCTTTTAATTATCGTAACGTGAACTGTCACCGTTCAATTACGTATCTTTGTTGCGTGTGTCCGCCGTTCAGAGGCGAGCGTACGCGAGATCGAAATTATATAGCATCTCCGATTTGGACGAGCGACGAGCAGGCAGACACGCGAGGGACTGGCAAGAAGAGACAAGCGAAGCGTACGCTAGCGCGGGGGGAGCAGGTGAGGTAGAACCGAGGCTTGTGCCGAGACTCGGACGGGCGGTCCCATATTATTCAAAACCGAATGCCTACGGTCTATCCCACGGGAATGTGTTCGCAGTACGAGTACGTATTCCGAAAAGTCGATACTTAACAAGCCGAACGCAACGTGACAATAAGACGCAACAGTGGTTGTACGGAGAAACGAATAATCTAGTCATCAATACTACAATTACTCTAATAATTTTATTGTGATTTTAATATATTATTCGTGTTGATTGACAGATTTAATTCGATAAACTACTATTCTTCATTATAATATGTATTGTGTTTTGAGAATTTTTATTGTTATTGTATTTCATGTGAGTTTAATATAATAATACTTAATTCATTCTATACGCTGTGCGCATTGGTCCATGTCTTTTGTTAATAACTTGGTAACGAAGCCCCGTTTTGCATTTTACAAAAGAATTGTAAAAGTAAAGTGTAATTGTAAATTGTCACGAAGGAAAAAGTGAAGGACATGATTTTTGAGTTTTTTACTTAGGTCACTAATGAAAATTTAAAACATACATTTTATAGTACTAAGTTCTATTTATGTACAAATTTTCATTAATATCAGCAGAAGCATAAGAAGAAGTATTGATATTTTTGATTTATTTCACTCTGTACACTATTTTAGATTATGGCCTTAATAATTTTTTATTACCCTCTCGATTGCAACGTGGCATGAAAAGATCAACTACTTCGTAAAATGCTTGATAAGCAATCGCATAAAATAAGCTGATTAATGACATTTCTCCCGAACGTTAAACGTTCAATGCGAAAATGTTCAATTAGCCTATGTCAATTGATAGAATTATAAAACAAATTAAGCAATGATTTGGGCCACCCTACGGTAAGGGATTGGATTCGTATTGGTAGAGACCGATTCACCCTTCTTCTTGTCGGTATACAATATTCCCATTGCTTAATATATTGACGACCGGATGTATTTTTAGTATCGTCAACCTTTTCTCTCATCGCGCTGTTACGGAGTTCCTTATTAACGTTCAATGAGACTTATTAAAAGAAAATAATTCGAATTCATTGCAACAATTAGTATTTATCTTTGTACCAAATGAAAGACCGCATAATTGTTAATAAATATTAGTCCAATCAAATTAACTTTTTTCATAACATTAAGGAAGTTCTATCGATAATAGAATTAATAATTAGATTTTTTGTTACATTTACATCAACGTTAATCGTAAAATTAACTATTAAATACT